TGTGTGTGTGTGTGTGTGTGTGTGTGTGTGTGTGTGTGTGTGTGTGTGTGTGTGTGTGTGTGTGTGTGTGTGTGTGTGTGTGTGTGTGTGTGTGTGTGTTTGAGGTGGTGGGGGTTTATCACAACATAACAGGTCACTTATACATATATAACATTTGAATGAATGACGTTTATTCCAATTAATTTAAAACTCATTTCAGCAGCACTCTGACATAAAGATACTTGATTTTTTTTGTTTAGACTGAAGGGGAAGTGCCTAAAATAGCATTAGTTCTCAGAATTTAATTCAAGAAAGTGATGAAAAGAAAGCAGAAGAATGTGTTTCTGCTCGCTCCTCGGCCTTGTGTTGGCGGTCGGACAGATGGCCGACAGAGAGTCTCAGAGGACACTGGCTGTTAGCTGACTCACCGATTACCAGAAATCTTATCTTAAATGTCAATTAGCTCGCATTTATCAGAGTGTGATCTCTTGGTATGATTTCCTAAAAATGACAGGTTCATTTGATGACATGCGTCAATAATCAGTGAGTAATTCATGAGTAAAGAGTCACATCTCAACCTGATGTGGTCAGTCACTGATGCGACTGTCAGTAAGTTACTCTGACCAGAGTTACACCTGCTACAAACAACAACACAACCAAATGAGATCACAATAAATGTATAACCAATGTCTTCATTATTGTAATGGTTCAGAAAGTAAATGAAAGAATACAAATGTCCCAAAAATTGAATTATTACATTTGCTAAGTCAAAACTGAGGAGGCTTTTTCTACAATTTTCAAAGTTAACTCAACAGTTACGGCAATTTGACTAATTAAGGCCAGAATTATGAGTGAATAAATGCAGAATTTCTAATTATTTTTAATTAAAGGTGAGTTCAATGTAGGCTTCTTGCCAATCTTTCTCAGTGGGCCCGAATTGCATCAATGCAATACGTGAAAAAGTATATTTATTCTCTACACCAACATCTACATAATTCAGCACTGGGAGGTGGTCATTGTCGTAGGCCTTTCACAGTGACGTCTGACTGAATTCAAGCAGCATTTGCTTTTATTCAAAAGGTGTTTTATGAATTCATATAAAGCATTTTAAGTCGTCATAGTGTTTTGTGAAGGGGTCAATACAAAAAATAAGATAACGGATAAAACAACCAACAATGTCAGCACCTTAGATCGAAACGATGGATTGGATTCAATTCCTTGCCTTATTATTACACTCTTTATTACAAATGTTTACATCTACTCATGTTCTCATTCTTATCCAGATGTGTGAGAGCTGTTCAGCTGGACTCTTCGACGCTCAGTTTTAAACAGAAAATATGAATTTGCAATCAGAATCATCTACCGTTAGCACTTCTTGTTTAGTGCTTTTAATCCGTAGAAAGCAGGTGTGATGACTGCAGTTCCCAGACAGACCCTTTGGCCATGAGGCTGTGTCCTGAATCAGGAAGTGGGGGGGGGGGGGGGGGGTGCTGGTGGGGTCTTGAGGGTAGTTACAGCGGAGTTTCATCTCTGCCAAAATACCCAGAGGAGAATAACAGAAACTGTCCACACTGAGCACAGACTGCTGTTGCTTCTTCCTTTCTGTTGCATCATGTATTCGTGACACAGGATTATACAGCACTTAATTTGCTCTGTTTTAGAGTACGGAGCAGCTCAAAGTTAAACCCTGGGCTTTGCTGTAAGATTAGTAAAACATCTTAATGAGGGACGAAATAGTAATCAACCATTCTACTTTGGAAAAAAAACATCTTTACACTACTGTTAAAGAAGAACAAGGAGCCCCTGTTAATATATTTTGTACTATTTAAAACAAATGCACTGAAATACACTCATAAAATGTGTCTTGTGTCAAACAGAATATGTGTGTGTGTGTGTGCAGCAATGTGTCGAAAAGAGTGGGTTTGTAAAGAGAGAGTGAGCACGCTAATATTAATAGCCTCGCTGACAGTAAGTGTTGGGTTTAGCACTCTGCGTTCAACCCGGTACAAGGGGAAGTCGGGAGGGGAAGTGAGAAAAAGACGCAGCATCTTGATATACTGTCCCACTACTGTATTACTGACCACATTATCCACCATGACACTGTCTGTAGGCCATTTTGAAACATGAATCAATACACACCTTCCCTGCGTGTCCTGCGAGAGGCGGCACTTTGGGAACTTCATGTTACAGATGTTTTATGAGCTGCTCAATTACTTTATATAGTGGAGTTGGGTTTTAGTGCTGCACATACTGCTGATCGGACAGGCCAATTTAATACGCAATACTTCTTTTTTAAACGTGTGCATCTTGAGAGGAAGACCTCACACTTTCACCAGAAATTGAGCAACAATGGGCAGTTTTTTGGGGTTTCACGCATTGCCATGATTGCCATAAAATACCCACACAGAAACCACTTGTAATGTTGGAATAACCACAACTCCACCCTAAGAATAGATTAACCAGATGTTGCATCCACAGGGTTTGTGACCAAATTAGCTTTTTGCAGAAGTCCGTTTATTTGAGGGAAATCCTGCGGTCAGTGTGTGTGTGTATGTGTATGTGTGTGTGTGTGTGTGTGTGTGTGTGTGTGTGTGTGTGTGTGTGTGTGTGTGTGTGTATGTGTATGTGTATGTGTGTGTGTGTGTGTGTGTGTGTGTCTTGACCCCGGACCAGTGTGGCGGCAGATTGGAGCTTTTCTAGCTCATTGCCACTTCCCCCTTCCCCTAAAGAAGCTGCATGTACTAAAGTCCACTGTTCTCACATTTCTGTCACTATAACAAACCTGATTTAGTCGCTGAATATGATATTGGAGTCGTTCATTTGATTCTTGTCTTCATAATGATTGCATTGGATTGATGCTGTGGTTATTTAACAGTGGCCTCGGGTCAGTGGTGGTCATCTTCTCATGAGTCACTGCTGCCCCCTGATGGTGGAAAACGAGTTTGACCACTCGCATGTTTGCATTGCACAAAGTCCAATACAATTATTTTTAGCTAATGTATAATATAGATAAGAACACTAAACTCAATAAACTAATGGTGCCATTAAAATGCACCGTCTCTCATCTGCAATGTGAGAAACAACAGGGGGAGAGAGAGAAAGGGGGAGGGAGACTGAGAGTTTATTATGCAGGTGGCAGATAAAATTAGTTGGTCGTTGGGCAGATTTGCATTTTTCACAAAAGGGAAGTGGCTGTGTGTGTGTGTGTTTCTGTGTGTGTGTGTGTGTGTGTGTGTGTGTGTGTGTGTGTGTGTGTGTGTGTGTGTGTATGTGTGTGTCAGGGAGAGAGAGAAAAGAGAAAAAAAAGATTTCAAATATACACAACAAAAACGTCTGTGTCTTTCAGTTTGTGGTTTCAGACAAATGAAACGTTTAATAGTGAGATAATACATCTGAGTGAATAAACAAGCTAATTCTATGCACACAGAATACTTTGCCGTCTGTGCATCTGCTCTGAATATGTGAATACGTGGACATGATATCATTATAAATAAGAATTTCTGACCTCTACAAAGCAGTTTTGTACTTGTCAGTGTTGATAAAAACAGTTCCAATCATTAAGTTACTGAGAACAATTAATAATATCTCATTAACAAGTTATAACATCTTACAAAGCTAAATAAAGGCAAACAAAAATGTTTTGCAAAATGTTTAAACATAAAACTGTCCCTTATCCTTCCAGACAAAAAAAATTGTAATGCCTTGATTTAACATATTTCAACACACACACACACACACACACACACACACACACACACACACACACACACACACACACACACACACACACACACACACACACACACACACACACACACGCACACACACACACACACGCACACACACACACACACTCACACACACACACACACACACACACACACACACACACACACACACACACACACACACACACACTCACACACACACACACACTCACACACACACACACACTCACACACACACACACACACACACACACACACACACACACACACACACACACCACAAAACTCTCATTAAATCATCTTTCCTCTTTGCGTCCAAAATGCCAGTGTTGGAAGAAGTACTCAGATCCTTTACTTTAGTAAAAGTACAAATATTAGGGTGTTAATACTGCATTACATATACAAGTCCTGATTTCCAAATGTTAAAGTACAAAAGTATTGGAATCAATTGTATTTAAAGTACTAAAAGTACTCATTATGCACAATGTAACTTCTCACAGTATTATATTATCCTGTGTTAATTAATGTGAGAGCTTTTTAGTAGTTTGTTTTTACATGAAATACTGTGTAGATTAGTAGTACTGCATTATACCATATCAGCATATTCATGTGTTTTTATATGTACTAAATAACTAGTATCGATGTCTGTTAAAATACATTTAGTGGAGTAAAAAGTATAATGTGTTGGCCTTAGAAATGTAGGGAAGGAGAAGTTTAAAGTAGCAATAAAGTAAATTACAAACATGTCAAACAAGTACAATTCTTGAGTAAATGTACTTAGTTACTTTCCACCACATCGAAATGCTGTCCACCTTGTGATGAATAGATAGAGTGTCGAATGCCTCCCTCTCTTCTCTGATGTTGCCTGTAGGTGCTGTCCCAGTACAGTATCAACCAGGAAGTGATGTGGTCTCGTAATGAATGACACACAACCTGAGAATTTCTTTGCAGCATATTGCTCCCACGTAAACACCTTGAGTTATATTTTTAGAAGGAGCAAACACTTTGGTCAGCCTACTCCTTTTGTCAAACCGCTAATTGGAAAGAGTGAATGAATGTGGGCTGCAGTGAATGAATGATTCATTGTTTGTTGTACAGTGTGTAGGTCTGTGACCTGAAAACACTCTAACCTCCGACAACAACGCCCTGGACATCCTCTTTCCCCTCTCGTCATTCAGACTCTTTATCGCCTGCTTCATGAATATGTTCTGCTGCTGTCTGCATTTTTTTCTTCTCTGACATACATTTGAAGAAGCTTGCCGACTTATTTATCTTCGCGTCTTCCTGTTGCAGATATCAGGATGTCAAAGCCAGCAGAGGTCGAGAAAGTCGGGGCCAACTCTCCGATGGAGGGCGCAGGTGAGATGTGCTGCCGTTATCCACAGAAAATACACAACGTACATATTTTATGCTAAGAAAAAGCAGCAATACCAAAGTTCAAAAACACTCATTTGCAAGTAACAGTCCTGCTTTCAAAATCATACTCAACATTAGCATGGCAAAATATACCAAAAAATACTCATTATGTTGTACGGCCTGTTTCAGAGTCATTTACATTAAATGATTGTATTATAATTGTGGAAGCATTTATGTGTTCATCACTTCAATGTTGCACTTTGTTACGGTGGGGTTTAGTTATATCATTTGATATACTGCTAATGTGTCATTAAGCTCAATCTGTAAAATAGCCAGTAACTCACCCTGTGAAATAAATGTAAAAAAGGGAAGAAATTCAACTTTTTTCTACAATATAAAATAATAATAATACATTTTTTTTTTTTTTAAGTAATCCAAGTGTTCTTAGAAAAACAACATTTCATACTAGCATACAACATTACATTTAGCTGACGCTTGTATCCAAAGCGACTTACAATAAGTGCATTCGACCAGGAAGATACAAACTTGAAGAAAGCAGAAAACAAAACATTTGAAGTGCTACTCAACTAGCTTTAGATAAGCCAGTCCTTTATTAGTATATACTCAACCGAAGTACCGACATTTCCTTACCTAAGTACAGCACGTACAGTGAGTAAATAGTCCGTTAGTTTCTCTCTGCTCTACATGCGTGACGCCGTATGTCAGAGCTGCTGTTTGTGCTCTATTGATTTCTCACTTTTTCCTCTCCCTCCCACACAGATTCAGAGCGGAATGGACCTGAATCAAATCACCAGGTACGCCTTCGATTATAACGACTTATCTCACACCTCGTTCTCCGACATCATTCATACAAGAACGATAACAGTGCCAGTCATAGTTGTAGGGTTGGTTAATGCCATTATCTATACATTTGTCGATTGTTTTTCATTTAATGTGAAGAATTACGGAGAGATGTGATCTTGAATATGTTATTGTTTGTGATTAAGAAAACAAAACCTTACAAATATTCAACTGACAAGGAAATTAAACAGGAAATAGCAACAAATCCTCACTTTTAAGATCTTTTAAGAAATTCGTTTTTGGCATTTTCTTCTTCATAATTTACTGAAACTATTATTAAAAAGATATTACAATTATTTAAAAAATGTTTTCTATTGATACATGAACTATTTGTAGTATAAAATAATATACACAGATTGCATTTCGAGTAATTATTTGCAGTATTTTCTGATATTCGTGTGTTTTGTGTCTTCTAGGCTCAGTCAATGAAAGTCAATCCTTATTCCCTTTCACAAGCCCTGAGCAGCAACAAGGTCAGTGTGTGTGTGTGTGTGTGTGTGTGTGTGTGTGTGTGTGTGTGTGTGTGTGTGTGTGTGTGTGTGTGTGTGTGTGTGTGTGTGTGTGAGTGTGAGTGTGAGTGTGTAGTGTGAGTGAGTGTGTGTGTGTCCATGTGTCCATGTGTCCGTGTGTCCATGTCACCACTCTGTCTGTGCATGTCTGGGCTTCTGTTTGCGTCTTTTGTGTTTCCAGGTTTATTGACAGTACAGCTTTGTATTCATCGCTGCTCATTCAGTTGCTCCTTTGTCTCGTTTAACGTTGAGGTCCATAATGTGTCGACTCTCCACCCGGTCCTCAATGTAAACACATTCACTCAGAGGATGATGGCACTCTCCCTTTACAAAGAATTGTAATAAATGTATAATGCTACAACTTCCACGAAAAGGAGAAATTATCCTCATTTGCATACCGCTGGAGAAATGCAAATCAGTTAGCTGGAAGTCCCCTGCCTGTTCAAACATGCCTCATCCTGGGAGGAGAGCTCATCCCTGGGTGCCATAAATAGATAAAGAGAGTGGTGGACTCTCATTGCCTGAGAAACACCAGAGACACATCTCTCATCAGTTTACATGTGGCAGCATCTTGCATTTAAATACTCTACACTCACTATCATGATCGTCAATAGCCAGGTAAGCTCATTTAGTTAAATAGTGTGGTTAAAAATATCTCTTGCTCTTTTATTTTTGCAAGCGTGTTGTTAAAAGTTACTTGCTAATTATGTTTGAAAGAAAAAGTTAAATCCTTCATTCAAAATCCTATTTAAGTCGAAGTGCATAAGTACTGGCATCAAAGTGTTCATTCAAAAGTCATTGTTTCGCATATTGGCACATTTCAGAGTCACAGTATCGACTAATTCCACCACTGATTGATAACTTGTTGTTTAGATACACATATGTTTTAATTTCATTATCACATGTGTCTTTCCCACAGAATAAGATGGAGGAGTGTGGAGAGATGTCCCCGGCCCTCCCTCTCTCTCACGGCCCGACCCCCTCTCAGACCCTGCAGCAGCACACACAGCTCATGCTGACCGGCTCCCAACTAGCAGGGGTGAGACACACTTACAACACACACACACACACACACACACACACACACACACACACACACACACACACACACACACACACACACACACACACACACACTTTGCTTTTGCCCTGCTTGCTTCTCTTGTGCTGCTTTTTAAATACTTTGTTTCCCTCTTTGTCTCCTTCTGTCCGTTGCAATCTTTTCTGCTTTATCTCAATGTTCTCCTCCCCTCCTCTCCTCCCCTCCTCTCCTCCTCTCCCCCCTCTATCCTCTCTTCCTCTCCTCCTCTCCCCCCTCTATCCTCTCTTCCTCTCCTCTCAGTTGACGGCTCTTCTCCCAGCTCAGCAGCAGCTTCTCCTCCAGCAGGCTCAGGCTCAGCTCCTAGCAGCAGCCGTGCAGCAGTCCTCTGCAGCGCATGCCGCTCACGTTGCCCACGCAGCAGCCAATCAGCAAGCTCAGGCCGCCGCAGCAGCAGCCAATCATCATCAGGCCCAGCAGCAGCATCAGGCCCAGTCTCAGGCCCAGTCTCAGTCCCAGGGACAGAGCACACAGGACCAGACAGTCCAAAGCGTCCAGCCCCCCCAGCTCAATCTCCCTCAGCCAATCCAGCTCACCGCCCAGGTACTGCCCGCCAATCAGAGCCACTTCCTGTCGAGCGGCTTGATTGAGGAACCCAGTATCAAGCCGTGGAAAAATTATTCGTGCTTGAATGCTTATTTCATGATTCACAGTTTCCACCCTGCACCAATGCACATATTTTCCATTTCTCTTCACATAACTTTTACGATAACACAGTTTTTCCTCCCACTTCAGGGTGTCCTACTATAACTCGATCAACTAAGTGCAGGTTTTCGGTCAGATTTAGGATGTTGAGGGTTTTTTAAATAGTGCAATTAAATACAATAAAATAGAATAGAAGTAGTGCCATAAGAGTCTATATACAAGTGATAAATGATTAGTTTTTCTTAGTTTTTCCTCAAGTGATCTGCAGTCTTTGTGTAATAGGTCAATGAAGGGACTTTAAGTGAAAATCAAAACCTCCAGGGGAGAAAGATAACATATGTTTTCTTTTACTTAGCCCTCTAACTTTCTTTAAAAAATCTGACATGTTTCTCTCTGTGCCCAAAAGGACATCCAGCAGCTGCTCCAGCTCCAGCAGCTGGTGTTGGTGCCCGGTCACTCTCTGCCCTCTCCGGCCCAGTACCTCCTCCAACAGCCACAGCAGGGCCAAGGTGGGGAACACCTGCTACTGGCATCCTGTTTTTGTGTTTTTTGGCAGAAATTAGATGTTAAAGGTCACCTATTATGCAAAATCCACATATTCATGTCTTTTCTACATCAACATGTGTCCCCTCTGTGGAAAGAGATTCTGAAAGTTTCAGGAACAAAGATTCTCTCTCTTTTTGTCCTGATCCATTTATATAAAAACCTGTCTGAAAATGAGCTGATCAGATTTTGGCCACTTTATGATGTCATAACGATGTATTGGCTTGTGTAACCATTAGCCAATCAGCAACCAATGTAACTGGTGGGCTCCTTATTTTCATCTAAAGTAACATACAGAGAATCAGCACTTTTGAAACAGGGCTGAAACAGAGGGGATTATGGGATGCTGCAATGATCTGTTTGGTGTTTCAGCCAATCAGAGACATGTTTTGTATATATCTGAGACCGATAATATATTGATGAAAAACAGTGTAATAGGGGACCTTTAAGATAAAATTCTGTTGGTTTGATTTTGTTTTTGTCTTTATTAAAGCTGATTATTTGCTTCTTCTCAGGACTCCTATCGCCACAAAATCTCCTTTCGCTACCTCATCAAAACCAAGGGAGCCTGATGTGTGCTTCGAGCAGAATGGGACTCCAAGCACAGGTATGAGGACACTTTTCAAGGAAAGGAGATATATTTTACATAGCAAACAAGGCGATCTAAAACGCTAAAGAAATAACATTTAAACGAGAATTAAAAAAATTGTAATAAACAATAATAAAATGTACACTGCACTGTAAGAAATTAATATCTGGGGGATTTTATACATGCAGCAGCAAACGGACAGAAACAAAGTAGCAGTAATCTTTGTAATTTTGTTCAATATATTTTGTGCATAAAACTGAATGCTGCACCTCCATGTTTAATGTTGGCACTAGGGAGACCTGAGGGGGCTCATACACATGCAGAAGATCAGACATGTATTCAAGCATTACTCAGTGGAAAATTAAAACACCGTCTCTGCAACAGTAATACAAACACTCTTGTGTCTCTTCCTATCTGGACTCTCACAGACTGAAACCTCTCTGTAATGTTTTAAAAGCTGTGTTTTTCGACTGTGGGGAGGTTTTTACACAGACTGCTTTTATTTCTGGTGCTGGCTCCAAGAAAAATAATGCAGGGAAGTGGGAACGGTTTAATTTTATTGTGGGGCAGGCGAAAATGTCGATCTACAAAAGCAGGAAAAACAAAGTGAACAGTACAGCCGGTCAGCAACATGTTTTTATCTTTGGTAAAAGCAAGAGTGACGGTAGATTTTAGATTTCACTGTCTGATGAGAAACATGGAAGAGTTTTTAAACCGGTGGTGTTTCACTACAGCTGTGTGCTCTGTGGTGGAGGGAGAGCTCGGTTTTAACTCTGCTTTAATGTGAAACAAAAATCTTCTCTCCATGTCTAGTTAAATAAGCTCATTGTTGTTGCGAAAGAATAATAAGAATCTCTTCCCCTCTTGGTTTCACTTTCTCTCCCCTGACGCGGTTTCTCTTCAGCGGGATAAGAGTATGGAGGTGAGCGGCGTGACCGCGGCGCCCTCAGTGACGACCCCTCACCCCGAGGAGCCCAGCGACCTGGAGGAACTGGAGGTGTTTGCCCGCACTTTCAAACAGAGACGCATCAAACTGGGCTTCACACAGGTGAGGAGAGACGCCTGCAGTGTGTGTGTGTGTGTGTGTGTGTGTGTGTGTGCACGTTACTTTAAAGGTCACCTATTATGCAAAATCCACTTGTTCACGTCTCTTCTACATCAACATGTGTCCCCTCTGTGCAGTGGCGGCGCCAGGGTATGGCTGGGGTAGGCTACAGCCATACCAAGAAATGGCTTAGCCCCACCTTAGCCCCACCATGAAAAGTGATGCAAATTCAATTAAATAATAAGCGAAATGCTAAATGTTGAGAACACGGATTGCGAAAATATACGGGTCGTGTCCACAGCACACAAACTGATCCTGCTGTAACAAGTGCACGTTACTGATGCAATATGGTTGAGACCATTCGGGCCTATGCTATAAGAGGGGTGCAAGGAATAGTCTAAGTAGTGGGGGAGTTTTATACACTAAAGGTGTGGAAATTCTCTGGCGTTATAATATCAGCGCGGCCGCGGTCAGATCAAAATGCCTCCGAATGCAATTTGAATAGACCTACAGCCAATCAGAGCAACGCAACGTTGGATCTGCGTCATGCCTTATTGATTGAGATCAATCGAAACCGCCATTCAGTATCCCCATTGGATCTTCAACGTGTACTATCATACGTCACGTTCACAGTGATCCCTTTTTATTTACTACAAGACAAATGTGCCGTTTTATTTCATACAGTTCCATTTTGATTGAGACAGGGAAATAATCTAAACCTCACGCGTGGCGTTTCACTGTCAAGGGGGGCGATATAGCGTGTATGTAATTACATTGCAAATACTGATTTGAGCACCACCACTGTATGGGTTAGCCCTACCATAGATTACCCAACAAAAATGCTCTGGCGCCGCCACTGCCTCTGTGTAAAGAGATTCTGAAAGTTTCAGGAACAAAGATTCTCTCTCTTTTTGTCCTGATCCATTTATATAAAAACCTGTCTGAAAATGAACTGATCAGATTTTGGCCACTTTGTGATGTCATAACGATTGTTTGGCTTGTGTAACCATTAGCCAATCACCAACCAAGGTAACCTCCCCCCCCCACCTTATCACCTGAATCTCCTCCTAGAGCACCATTGAGTTCTTTTTAACCAAATATCTCTCAGAGGGGCATGGGGAGGGGCTCCTTATTTTCATCTAAAGTAACAGACAGAGAATCAGCACTTTTGAAACAGGGCTGAAACAGAGGGGATTATGGGATGCTGCAATGATCTGTTTGGTGTTTGAAGCCAAACACTTCAGAGACATGTTTTGTATATATCTGAGACCTATAATATGTTGATGAAAAACAGTATAATAGGGGTCCTTTAACAGTGTATGTGATTTTATTTTTTACTGTTCTTCTTCTTGTCCCCCTCCTCCAGGGAGATGTGGGTATGGCCATGGGGAAGCTGTACGGCAACGACTTCAGTCAGACCACCATCTCCCGCTTCGAAGCCCTCAACCTGAGCTTTAAGAACATGTGCAAGCTGAAGCCACTGCTGGAGAAGTGGCTCAATGATGCAGGTGAGCTGTCAGAAAATAATTACAGTACTTTACATTTCGACAAAAAACATTGTTTGATTCAATATTCAAGATTCAAGGCTTTTATTGTCATGTGTGCATAGCTACAGTGTAGTTATGACAATGAACATCTTAGGTCACAGGCTCCTCCAACAGTGCAAAAACAATAAAACAGATAATAGTGCAAGTAAATAAAATAGAATAGAATATATTGTTAACTTGTTTTTCAGATTTGAGTGTCTGGGCTGGAAGGAAAATGTGAAATTGCTGTTTCAAGTGTTTCTTTTACTACTCTGTCTATTTACGTCTGTAGTTTCTCATACAACAAAATGCCTCATTTGCAAATGAACGTATACATTTTGTGATGGATTTATTGATTGGCTCCTCTTCCTCAGAGACCATGTCTTTAGACTGCACCATGCCCAGCCCCAGCTCCCTGTCCTCTTCCTCGATGGGCTTTGACGGGATGCCTGGCCGCCGCAGGAAGAAGAGAACCAGCATCGAGACGAATGTACGCGTGGCCCTGGAGCGCGCATTCATGACGGTATTTATCCTCATTATTTCCTTTGAAAATCACGAACTTAAATATCAAAAAGTCAATTAAAGATTATTGCTTTTAACATGAAACGAGTTCTATGAGATTCTAAAGTTTCATCTTAATACTGGGCAGTCATTTAAGTCCATACGTCGGTATTTTTGAGCTTTTAAATGACATTACATCTACTCTGTTACATGTACTTTAATTTAAAATAAATAACATTTCTGGAAGCTGCTATTTTGCATCATACTTTTAAATCGTATTTGAGTACATTTGCAATAAAGTACATTGTACTCTAACTCCATTACATGCATCTACAGCTTGTATTACTCGTGCTGGGAAGAAGGATTGATGTTTTTACCACATCTTGTGAAACATTGGACTAATGATCTGAATAAATGTCTGAATAACTATCTGAATAAATGTCTGAATAACTATCTGAATAAATGTCTGAATAACTATCTGAATAACTTTCTGAATTCCTGCTTCTCTGTGTTGAAGCAGAACCAGAAGCCTACCTCAGAAGAGGTCCTGATGATCTCAGAGCAGCTGAGCATGGAGAAGGAGGTGATCCGGGTCTGGTTCTGCAACCGCCGGCAGAAAGAGAAACGCATCAACCCCTGCAGTTCCACCCCGCCCCTGCCCAGCCAGCCCCCCCTCTGCCCCCCAAATGCACAAACAGCCCTGCTACAGCCCTCACATGGTAAATATACAACCTCAACCTCACTGTTACACATGTTAGCAGTTGTGGACAGTAATGAACATGTAGCGTCTTTGAGCAATAGAAAAAGCGCTATAAAAAATCCAATGTATTATTATTATTATTATTATGTACTCAAGTTCAAGTGTGTGTACTGGTGTGGAGGCAAATATTATACTTTTTACTCTACTTAGTATTCTGAAATTGCAGAATGAGGACTTTCACTTCTTGTACTTAAAGTGTGTTTGTACTTCCTTACTTTACCTTAAGTGACATTTCTACACTGTGGAATTACTACTTTTAGTTAAGTGAATAATCTGACCATTGCTGGTTAATCTTTTAATGGGGTAATTTTATTTTAATGAATATTAAAAATACGAATCAGAATACTTCATTTTTTCGTAAATAAACCAAAGAAGTTCAAATGTACAATAAAATAATAAAATAGAACAAAATATTTACGTAAACATAAGAAATGAAAGTAAACATTTTGAATTAAAAACTGTATATATTATATAACAGCAATATATATGTTTAAAAATCTCTCTCTCTCTCTCTCTCTCTCTCTCTCTCTCTCTCTCTCTCTCTCTCTCTCTCTCTCTCTCTCTCTCTCTCTCTCTCTCTCGCTCTCTCTCTCCCTGCAGATGTCCAGCCAGCTGTCCCAGGCCGTGACCAATCTCAGCACAACGGTGTCCACCATGTCTCCCGGCTGCCCCCTGACCTCCAGCCTGACCTCCAGCCACCCCTCCCTAAGCTCCACCCACCCCTCCCTAAGCTCCGCCCCCTCCCCGGTGACCCCTCCTCCCCGCAGCACGGTCAGCCCCGCCATCCCCAGCCACAGCACACTCAACATCAACACAGGGTGAGAACACAACACAAGTGCTAAGAGACGTTTACTATTGTATTGTATTGTACTATCAAAAGTCAAAGTCAACGTTATTGTCAATCTTTCAGTTTGTGTGTACAGACAGAGAGATCGAAATACCGTTTCCCACAATCCCGAATACAAATATGTATAAAATATCTATAAAAATATGTATATCCTATATATACACAATCAACAGACACATTTACACATGTGCACACATTAAGATAAAAACACAACAATCAATATATATATACAAAATAACAGTCACTTCAATATCTTTGGGAATCAATGTGCATTAGTGCAAGATTGTCCATAGCAGCGTAAAAAAGTGTCGGTACCACTTTACAATAAGACTACCCTTATAAAGGATTCATAAAGGGTTTTTAATTAGGTTGTAAACACTTTATTAATCATTAAGAACCATTTATAAACCAGTTCTAACGTAGTTTTCATACATCAACACAGGCTCACTATTTGGCAAGATGACGAAGCCTTATATTGGCTACTCAGTGAGAATCAACTCAGTGAGCAACAGATACCAAGGATGCTGGCTGATGAAGGAGACGAAGTAAGCTAGGTAGCCAACATAAGGCTTAGTCATCTTGCCAACTAATGAGCCCACATTTATCTGTACAGCTAAGTCTTATATTGGCTACCTAGCTTACTTCGTCTTCTTCATCCGCCAGCATCCTTGGTATCTGTTGGTAACATGTGGGCTCACTATTTGGCAAGCAACCGGTCACAGTTGCTCTGTTTATCTCATGTCTTATAAAAGCTTATTAAGGATTTATAAAGTGTTCAATAAATGAATTACAAACTATTCGTAAACCCTTTATAAGGGTAGTCTTATTGTAAAGTGGTACCAAAGTGTCTACTATACATCGCTTCAAAGCAGTTATAAAGAAAATGTAGGAATTAAAAAATGTCACTTCACCCTTAAGTGTGAAAGAAATGACCTCTATCTACCTAGGTGGTTTTTGTTTTATTTGATACGATTAGATTTAATGTCCTTCTATTTATGTCACATTTTGCAAGCAGCAGTAGGGTAACAAAGAAGTGCACAGTTACAGGAAACACTGCGATAGACCAACCTACTAGGATACTATATGCATTTTAAACAAGTGTGAAAAGTATTATTTATTTTTTAAATGTTTAATGCATCTTGCATTAAACATTTAAAAAATAAATGTCATCTTGTAGAGAGTTGCTAAATGAAACAGCTTCGGAAACCTCTTTGTAGAACAGCTACCTGACGATGTAACCCAGTCTCACGGCATTTCGTGTTATAGTCACGAAATTAATTTAATCTATTGATTCGTGTTCACCAACACGATTTTCGCATTTTTTTCGTGTCACACAGAACGATTTTAAAAGCAATGTATTTCTATTGGTAGTATGTTTCGTGCCTGCACCACGTCTTTTTGTCCGGTCGGGTCTTGGAAGACCAGAAGCTGTGTGGTTCATAAAAACATGTTCTTACTCATTATCTTACCCTAAGCCTAACCCTTTTATTTTAAATTGTATAATGTCAGAGTTTTTTTGCCGTCCACGAGGAAAATAAATGGCTCAGAGCCTCAGAATACTGAAATCTGTATTTTTTCTAATTTGTTATTATTTGGTGCAGGCACGAAACAAACTACCAATATAAATACATTGCTTCTAAAAATCGTTCTGTGTCAGAATACTGAAATCTGTATTTTTTCAAATCTGTTTTTCCTTCTAATTTGTTATTATTTACTTGGTTTTTAAATCGTTCTGTGTGACACGAAAAAAATGGCAAAAATCGTGTTGGTGAACACAAATCAATAGATTAATTTTGTGACTATAACACGAAATGCCGTGAGACTGTGTTGGACGATGGGGATGCTGAGGTTTTTTTATACACAATATTCTTTACTTTTTTTAATCTGAAAAATCAAACCTTCCCGCCCACTTGTTACGAGGTGGGAAACTTTCCCTTAAATCCTCTTTTGTCCTCTTAACACAACACAATCTGCCTCTTTTCATGTGTGCAAACATGTACAGTACAGCTTCCTCCTAGCCTTTCAGAAGAGAGACATGTGCTCCATTGTTCAAATATTTGAACAACTATACTGTCTAAAACGACCCCTCCTGAATGCCGTTAGGGACAATACGTTAACTTTCTAACGACGTTAGACTACTGTACATGTTGTGTCCTGACATGTCTGCCCACATCCACACACAATGAAGGGGAATACAGTTTGATGTGTGGTTTGAAGTGATGCATACAATATGTCTTCCCTGACATCTCAAATAAACTAGAATACAGTTTGATGTGTGGTTTGAAATGATGGATAAATAAACTACAATACAGTTTGATGTGTGGTTGAAAGTGATGCATACAATATGTCTTCCCTGACAACTCAAATAAACTAGAATACATTACATGTCATTTGTTAGACGCTTTTATCCAAAGCGACTTACATACATTCAGTACTGTGGACAATCCCCACAGGAGCAATTTGGGGTGAAGTGTCTTGCCCAGGGACACAACGACATGCTGACTGCAGTGGGACTCGAACTTGCTACAGTTATACAGTTTTCAGTTTGTTGAAATAGTCCTTATCTGTGTATTCCCAAAGTGATCCAGAGTAACTAATGCACAATTCTAGGAGAAAATATAATTATGAATCGCTGTTGGCAGCACCAACCCATTTAATATGTCTGCATTATAGTGGTTTTAGTTCTAAAATATTTTTTAAAGAAGGATTGCAAAACACGAATCAATTCAAACATAACTACCTGGCTACTTACAAATAACGGTCTGAAGTATTTTACTTTGCTGAAATAATCCTTTCATTATAATGTTTATGTTTGTATTTTTTTAAGTAAGATAAATCTGAATTACAATGATTTTACGGCCACCATGCCTGAATCCATTTAGGCAAAAATATTTCCTAATAAGTGCTATTAAATAAAACCACACATTTCCATAACACGCTGCACCATGCTCGCTTCACCTGCAGTTTGTAGCTAAGTGGTTGACACTGTAAACACACACACTGATTTCTTTAACTTGCCTTGGGGCCCTACTGCTTTCCCTGTGCTGCAGTGTACTCTAACCCTGTGTGTGTATGTGTGTGTGTGTGGTTCTTTTGTTCACAGCTTATGGCGTATGGGTAAAAAGAACGGTGACGTGTCTAACTACATCACCGATTTTGCTGCAAACTTGAGGTGAATGCGACAGAGATATATGCAGATTGTATGTAGCGTATAAATAGTGTATCAGAAAGCGTGGTTCTTCTTTTGAATCACTACTAACATATGGTTAACCCTCTGAAACCTAAGCATTGATTTCATGTATGCAAACAGAATGTTCTAGCTCGCCACAAATACATGTTCTAATGTTTTTGGCAGGATATTTGTGGGTCTTACAAACAATATCCAATTTAACTTTAAACATGATTCAATTAAAGAAAATAGGCATCTTAAACATATATTTTATTTACATGACACTGTGTTTTACTGCACATCAAACCCAAATGTATTAACTAGCAAAATCCCAGTAGATTAGTAGTTTCAGGAATACTTAAATCATCCCACGTAAATCACTTTCTTTCCCAATTCTGAAACCCGATATGAACTCAACTAGTTCGTCTTGAGCATGTTTTCATTCCTAAATTAAGTGAGTTGCTGCAAGGCGATTACATATTTGAGTTAACAAGCAGTTGAACATGTTTCCTAAAATATAAAGGGCCCAGTTAGAGTATTTTATCTGTTCACTCCTACGCCTTAACAGTATATATAAGTTCAACCCCTAACTTTATCACTATGACACACCTATACACACACAGTGCTTGAATTGGGCCGGACTTCTGATTTTTACCCATCTGCGTACCATTACTTCTGCGTACCGACACCTCATGACGCATCTAGGTACGCATATTAGTTGCGTTTATTCCCCTGTGTCCTCCCTGGCAGCTCCATTGATTCCCTCTCTCCTTTTCCTGATGGAAGATGCGTGTACTCAGGGACGAGGAGTCATTTAACCAGCCGCCAGTAGGAGTCAGGCTTTCAGTACAGTGAGCCTGTCTAAAATACACAGTAAAGAGACAAACCCACCAGCATTATAGGATATACTATATGACCTGATGCAGGCACATGTATAGGCTACGTCATGTTCTCTATGAGAGCCCCGGACACCTCCCTGATTAGTCGTGGAAAAACATGCAATTTCTGAACGTTACAGTAAATATTCTGTTAAAGTTTTTTTGTGTTTCTTTTGAATTACTGATTCAAAGATATGAGGATAAGGATAGAGGGAGTCGTATGTTGTACAGATTGTAAAGACCTCTGAGCCAAATTCTTGTTTTTGGGCTGTATAAATCAAATTGACTTGAAACAGTTGCTGATTTAGAGTACTGGCACCTTTGTTATTCCAATTCAAGCACTGCCTATACATATGCAATATAAACACATTGTTGATTGCCATATTAAGATAAATGTACTTATTATTAGGTGATGGGACCTTTTGATTTAAAGAGGACTTACCCATTGAAACCCACAAATGCCTTTTTGCAACATAAAAAAAACACCAAATCCCGTAAAACATACTTTTTATTATTATCATATATTCCTAATAATCTTAAAACATAAAGGAAACAATACTACAGGTCACACATGTACACAGAATACAGTGTCCAAAAGAGAGAACTAGGGGAAACCATGTTGTTTGAACTTTAAACCCATTTCCCAACCAAAGATTCTTTGCCACGATAAAGTACATTTTAATCTGAAAATGTTCTACTTAATTAGTTTTAAATCGATGTTGCAGATTCACAGCAGCGGGCCTCAGAGGGTTAAGGAGGCTTCTTGTGTTTTATAACATTTCCAAGATGTTCTGTTTCTTCCTGCTTTTCTAACCTCTTGTTTACATCTGTTCTGCCTCCTGTCAGCTGACTGCTGCTCTTTGTGTCCATGTAGGGCTCAATATGCCCTCCGCTTGTCCTTGCTGCTAAACCTGCTTTTTTTTCTCACCTTTTCTCCTCTGCTTGTCTGTGTTCGTGTATATGCCGGCACATGTATGGTGTGTGTGTGTGTGTGTGTGTGAAACAACAGGAACACTGTGATGGGAGTTAACACAGGAATGAACCAAGCCCTCCTCGGTAACAATCCCCTGGCCACTATCCAATGTGTGTGTGTGTGTGTAAGAGAAAAAGACATGCTGAAATTAGGTTTTTATTCAAGGAGTAAAAAAAAGAGAAAGCTTAGCATCAGCACGGATGTTAAACAGAATATCTTTTAAAGGTCACGGCTGAGGTGCTTATTATTTCATTTCTGGGAAAAACGAAGGGTCATAGAGGACGTAAAAATAGAGTTTTTTATCTTCTGGAAATATATTCTCCTCCTCTCAAACACTTGCACTCCTACACAAGCTCAAGCTCACCATGCACGACACACCTTCCTACACTTAAGGAACGACACACAAGAAGTATAAGAAAATAAAAAGTGTACAATCCTGCAGAACTGACCACGAAACAGTCCAACGGGTGTCAGCAGAGCGACGGTTTAATCACAGCTGGTGCAGCGAGGATGAGAAGAGGTAGAGAGAGATGTATTAATAACAGAAGTGTGATGATGAGTAATACAGTTATGCACGGTAGGGGAATCAAATCGCACTTGAAGCTGGAGACGCGCATGAATGGGCAGCCAATGTTTGCTCCTCCACAGTCTCTGAAGCAGCCCAAGAGTCTCAGAGGGGAACATTATTTCTCATGTGTCGACATCAACATCCATGACTCCATCCCATCGAGTGTGTGCCTGCGTGCGTGCGTGTGTGTGTGTGTGTGTGTGTGTGTGTGTGTGTGTGTGTGTGTGTGTGTGTGTGTGTGTGTGTGTGTGTGCGTGTGCGTGTGCGTGTGCGTGTGCGTGTGCGTGTGTGTGTGCGTGTGACGACTCTTTTACGTGAGTGTGTGGGCTAAGTGTTTGTGTGTGCGTCTGTGCCGTCTCACTCATCCTCAGCCTTTCATCTCTTCATTTCATCAATAGTATAATGGGTAGGAAAAAAGTCAACATCAAATATTTGAAATCAGATGGAAACCATGCTGCTGGGGACGTTTCATGCACTTCATTTTATTGTGAAATGTGCACTAATAATGGACATTAAACACTTACATCAACAACTTTAAATATCAGTGCCTGGTTGCATAAAACATATCATGCCTAAAATCCGCTTACATGTTCATCTAAGGATGCCTTAGTAACAACTTATTGCATCAAATCAATATACAAACTTGTTTTAAGATGACCCTAGGTGTTTGTTCTACTACTAGCTACTTAAAGGGGACCTATCATGCAAAATGCACTTTTGTACGTCTTTTATACATGAATATGTGTCCCCGGTGTTCCAGGGAACTCACCAAGTGTCAGAAAACACAACCCTCTCTATTTTCCTCCATACCCAAATCTCTAAAAAAGGGGCTGCAACGGATCTGATCAAAACTGATCCAGATTTGAACACTGTCCTGACGTCAGGACGGTGGCGCTACGGCTATTGGGCCAACTCCAGCAATCAGGAGGAGACAGCCACGGCCATTGCCGTTCGAAAGCGCTGGAGACGCTGTAGTACATATGCCAGGCCTGTAGGTGGTGCTGTTCTCACTGAATCAGCCCTTGCAAAAACAGAGCTAAACAATGTCAAATTGAGCGAAATGAGGCATGGCTAAAATGCATGATCTGTTTGGTATTTTGAAAAAAAAGTATAAATATGCCTTATATAGGTATGGTCCTACACTATATTATTCAAATATAGCATGATAGGTCCACTTTAAGAATTCCCTTGATGCATTGCTTTAGATATCTTTACTCAGGAACTAGGACGTACCAGTCTCTTTAAAATGTGAAATATGTTGAGGAACACTTGGTAATGGCTGAATTTATGGGAACTGTGGAGGAGGAGGATAAACCAAAACATAATATTCAAAACAGGGAAAAACCCACTGAACACTATTAGCGATGAGTAACTTGTTAGAGGATTTGGATTTAACCGTCTATCTTCAAAATCTCTATTATATAATACATATTAAAAATATATTCAACGTATCAGGTTTTTAAAGGGGAACAACCTTCTTGTCTTCTGTCTAGTTACACCTTTCTTTACTTTTGTATTCTCGTTGTTGTCCAAGTCAAGTGAAAGGATGATGATGCCAATGAAGCAAATCCATTGTGCACATATGTTATAGGAGGACAGTTTGTAAAGTGAACGCCTTAGTGTAAACATTTTGGCAAGGAATCAACTTAAAAATACTTTGTGCAACGCTCCTAAATAAACTCCTTTTGCTTTGGGATATCTTTTGCATAAGAGACACAGATTGAAACTTGAAAGGTAGTTTATGAAACCAAGAGATCCACTTTGACTCGACACTGAAACACCAAGAGATGAATCACTGAGGAGGCAGAAATAAATGTCTCTTCACCAATAGTTGCCTCAACAGACCATAATGCCGTGTGCCCACAACGTTCTGAGCAGTAACGGAGCTCAATGCTCTGTTGACGATGAGGATACATGTGTTCTGCTGTTGCCATGCAGACACACACATTAATAGGGTGCGTTTAATTACATTAATGGAAAGGAGCGCTGCATGTAGCTCCATCATCAACCTTGTTTCCTTAACAACGGACCACTCTCAGCAGATTACCTGCAGAGTGCCCTGGATCTGATCACAGAGATTATCTAACGGATATTAGACAACACGCAGGAAGACTGACACTACCGTCACCAAAAAAAAGGCCTTTGTGAATGTGAAGCAGTTTCCCAAAACTCACCTAAATGATTCCCAAAAACAGACAAGTGTATTTCTCTTAAGAAAACTCCACTCACCCTCTCAGCTTTTTATTTAAAAGAAGGTGTTTTTATCTACTTCTGCTGAATGCAACAAGCTCAGGCGCTTCGTCTGTTCTGGCTGTGCGCTGTCAATTATTAACAAACTAGCTAACAAGTAACAACGCTCAATATTACTAGTTAATGACAAATCATAAGCATTTGTTTTCCCTATTAAAGTGTCTAAAGAAAGAGGTAGATGGGTTTAAATGTAAAAAAACAACCTCATATGGAGGAATACATGGTGCCAGAAAATACTAAGCGAAATATTGGCATTTTCTATTAGTCCTCTGTAGGGGAGGTGACACAGAGGCTTTTATTTCACGCATTTAGGCTATTTTAGTCCTAATGTTCTGTGGAAAGCTCATCATGGGCTTTCTAGCCAGGACACATCCTGTAGCCAATTTAAAATTTAAAATAAATAACTGATTAAATATATAAAGAAATATGACTTCTGTTGCTCAGAAGGGTGATGCTTGAAGGGGACCTATCATGCAAAATGCACTTTTGTACGTCTTTTATACATGAATATGTGTCCCCGGTGTTCCAGGGAACTCACCAAGTGTCAGAAAACACAACCCTCTCTATTTTCCTCCATACCCAAATCTCTAAAAAAGGGGCTGCAACGGATCTGCACTACGGCTATTGGGCCAACTCCACCAATCAGGAGGAGACAGCCACGGCCATTGCTGTTAGAAAGCTCTGGAGACGCTGTAGTACATATGCCAGGCCTGTAGGTGGTGCTGTTCTCACAGAATCAGCCCTTGCAAAAACAGAGCTAAAAAATGTCAAATTGAGCAAAATGAGGCATGGCTAAAATGCATGCTCTGTTTGGTATTTTGAAAAAAAAAAAGTATAAATATGCCTTATATAGGTATGGTCCTATACTATATTATTCAAATATAGCATGATAGGTCCACTTTAAGTCTTTCTAAATACATATTGTACCCAGGTGCTTTGTGGGGGACAGAAGGGATTGCTTCTTACATTTTCAAACATTTTCCAAACTTCAGGAAACAGATCATAAAGGATTTTGTTGAAACTATTGACCAGATAGATAGATAGATAGATAGATAGATAGATAGATAGATAGATAGATAGATAGATAGATAGATAGATAGATAGATAGATAGATAGATAGATAGATAGATAGATAGATAGATAGATAGATAGATAGATAGATAGATGGATGGATAGATGGATAGATAGCTTTGGTATAAGGAATAGTCAAACAGCAATTGTCTTACGCACACACACGAGCACCCGCCTACACACACAATGTATAACCAGTGAAAAGCATGCACTGTAGCATTAATTACAATAAATGACGTCACAGTTATTGAATGTTTGAACCTCTCTCTCTCTCCCTCCCTCAGCCCTAGCAGCCAGTGGTGGCCAGCTGCCTCTTTCCAGTCTTGAAGGGGCCAGTAAGCTGATGCTGGGGGGGGGCCACGGGGGCCTGCCCTCCTCCCTCTTCCTGAACCACCCGGCCCTGCTCCACATGAGCCAGAACCCCGGACTCTTCAGCGCCGTAGCCAAAGCCTCCCAAGCCTTCCCATTGGCCAGCAGCATCAGCCCCACCCCCTGCTCCCCATCCCCCTGCTCAAGCCCCGCCTCTTCCTGTTCCTCCAGCGAAATGGCGCACAGCCCGACCTCTCTGGGCGGGGCCAAGATTGAGTGACCGCGCCAAACGGCCAATCAGAGAGGAGGAGGAGGAGGAAGGAGGAAACGGAAACCTCGCCTTTCACACCAAAGCTATCTCTTTCTCTCTCTTGCGCTCTTCTTCCGATATTTTTCTCGCAATGGTTCTCTCTCTCGTTCTCTCCCAGTCTTTCGATGCCAAAAATACACAGAATGAAAGAGGAGAGAGGGAGGGAGGGAAGAAGTGAAAGAGGGGAGAAGGGGGGGGAAAGGGGAAGATTGAAACCAAAAATCTTTATCTATCCAAACAGACGGAGAGGAGGCAGCGTGGGACCTTTTTGTCAAAAACACGTGATATCGACATCGCTTTCTCTCTCAAGGAAAACAAACCAATGACTCTTTAACAGAGAAGCATGTCGAAGCGCATAAACCAAAAATGACAAAAGATAACTTTACTATGTGACAAAGGAATGGCGGCAAGGACAACAAAAGATGGAGGGGAGGACTGTGCTTACGTTTTCCCTTTTTTAAATTATTTCGAAAAGCTGCGGGTCTGAAGGAAGAGGAGAAGGGAGGAGAAGTTTAAACCAAAAATGTACCTGAGGAGGAGAAGGAAGAAGAAGAATACACAATGACAAAAAAAAAAAAAAAAAAACGACAACCATACCAAAATCCCAAATACCAAAAACCAAAAATACGGAGAGAAAAGCTTTATTCAAAGGACGTGTAAATACTGAAGCTATCCAGGACCAGGACTACTGCTACTGCTACACACACACACACACACACACACACACACACACACACACACACACACACACACACACACACACACACACACACACACACACACACACACACACACACACACACACACACACACACACACACACACCATCGATCATCCTGTCTGTCAGCTCATGTGTCTCTCTTCATGCTAGATATATATTGAATGATTTTTGTAAAGAGTGTTACAGAGCGAGTCCAGACGTCGCGTTTGAATGATCGCCGTCTTAGTCTCTTTACCTACCTCTGGTTCCAAGAGCATAGAATAGCTTTCTTCTTTGACAGAGGCTTAGTGTGTGTTTTTTTTTACACTTTTGAGAGTTGGGATTGAGTTATTTATTAGTGTCATTTCCATCATCATTGTCTTCATCATGTGTTCATTTGTTTTAAGTGTGACTATTCTGCAGAAACAGCGGTGAAGAGAAGCTCACCAAGTGCCATAGATACAAAAATAGAGTTGATTTCAAGGTGTGACTGAATTTATTAAGACCTAAACATTTAGCGCTCATAATCAGACCACTCTCTTAAAGATAACCCCATCACCAGAGCCTCCGTGACTAAATGAACATGCCCTGGAAAACTTCACACACTGAAAAAAGACGTTGGTTAGCAGTGAAAGTATGAAATGGGGCTCTGATTGGACATTTAAAAAGTAATAACCATTGAGACTGAAGAATAAATAAGTCAATAAAGGCAAGTTTAGTCACAGTCCTGCCACACACCTGTCTGTCTAGACGTGTTTACTGATGTTCGTCTGTTTCCATCATCACCCCATCGATCGCATTTCACTGTCATTTTCCACCTCAGACTGCCATTCATTCTCAAATGGAAACCAAAGCATTCTCAAGGCCCGGGCTAAAGAGCCTCCGCCAGGACGTTTGAACACAATGAAGACACACGGAGGGGCAGGACGTTTAAGCCCCTCTTTGGTGTCATCCCCTCCACCTGGCCCGTCCCAAAAACCCGCGGGGGAAGCTTTATTTAGGGAACTGATCCTTTACTCCGAAACCCCCCAGAAAGAAAGGGACAGGGCGGGATGAAGGAGGGATGCACCGTAGTGACGGGAGCAGGCTTCTTTTTTCTTTTTTTTTGTAAGAGGATACCAAAAATAAACCCATACCAAAAAAAACACAACCCAAGGAATGACAAACCAAAAAGAAACCCTAACCAAATGTGGCTGGAGGGGGGAGGGGAGGAGGACAAAGTGCTGGTGTCTGTCTGTCTGTCTGCGAGCTTTAGAGTTTCCCTCTCTGAAACTGTGTAGCATGGATGGAGGGAGGATAGACAGGCAGACAGACAGGTGAAGGACACACAATTCCTCCCCTCCTCTGCCTCTCTCTCCAGCCCAGCTCTCTGGTCCTGGATGGAGCTAAACGCAAATGACCTCACTGAACTGAAATCTTCTAAAAAAAAATTCTGTTTTTATTTTTCTGTTGGTTGTTTTTTTCCGATTGTTTTATCTCTGCTGTGTCTCTTGATGCCGTTTTATGTACTGTACTTTAGTGCTTATTACTCATTTGGAATAACGTACTCGCTTACTTATTACTACAAGAGCTCCTTATTTTTTCGTAGTCGTGCTAGAGATTTTTATCAGGTGGTTGGAAAAAATACTGTGAAAATTTAGCTTCCAGATTTTTATTAGATAAAGAAACAGACTGTCTTGGCAGAGGAAAAAAAAAACGACACACAAAAAGCCAAAAATAAATAGCAAACCTTGAAAAACCAAATACTGAACCAAACCAAACACAGTAGAGGAATCCCACGAGGGAACAGAAACGGGTCGATCTGTCTGAGGTGAAACTGCGTTGTTCTGCACTTATTGGGAGGCCAGAAAAGAAAAAAAGGGTCTGCAGTGATGTCTTGTCATTCATTTTGACCCCAGAGACGGCACTTCCGACGCAGAATAACTCACACACACAGCGGCCTCAGTCAAGGTTGACGTTTCTGAGAGCTGGACGTAAACGTATCCAAAGAATATTTGGTTTGATCCACACCAGAAAAACAGTCGACACGCGAGAATCGTTTCACGAACCAAACTTTAGATGTGGGGTTCGCACCTTCAAGGTGAAACCTGTTCTCCACATTGACTCTTAGACGGAATGTATCTGTTAGTGCTTCTATAGATTTTGTAGAAAAAAGATCTATGTTCTACTGCTTACTTATCGCTAATGTATTAAAAAGAAAAAAACGTACAAAAAAGACTTTGAGAAAAAAAAAAGATCCTTAAAAACATTGATGATAATAACTTGATTTTAGACCAAAAATTGTAACTATCTCTCTTTGGACTTTTTTTTTTTCCTTATTAATGATGATTTAGACTTTTGATTGTACTATTTATTCAGGATAGGGTTGATTTATTTGCTTGCTATTTATTTGTTAATTTATTTCTAGAGGTGCTTTTTCATATCCTGGGATGTATTTGTGATAGATTTTCTTATTTTGTGCCCCCTGATGAAGTTCTTTCCTACTTCTTTAAACCAAATAATACCAGAAATGCAACCACGTCCTGTCGGGACTTAATAAGAGAATATGGCGGATTGAATGGTCAGCCGTTAAGATGTGCTCACAGGAACGAGAGGCAGCACTGTGTGGCAAACACCTCATCATCAGCAGGGTAAACAATGCATTTGATAGAGGCTTTCTGGACTTCTCCTGATAATGGGACAGAAATGGTTAGTTTAATTCCTGTTTCAATGCATACATACAATGTGTGAGAAACTGCAGGATGAGGTGTTTTTTAAGACGCTGTTCTGCCTCTTCTTGATATCTTCTCTCAAGGGAGAAAACACTGAAAGCTTTACAGCTACGCAACCAAAAACACAAAAGAAGAAAAGCAACTGGGGCTAGCGGTTTTTACATGACAGGAGGCAAGCGGGTGATTCTGGATTTTAAACCCGTATATTACCTTCTACTTTGTCTCTTTTTTCAGTTTTTTGTTTCCACTTTTCTAGACGTCTGTTTAAAACTTTTTTCTTCATCCACTGTAGGATGTAAAAGAGAGATAGTTCATCATATACCTCATATTCTTTGATGATAAACCAAATAGATGAATGCTTTAAAATGCGGGGTTCGAGCGGGGATAACGGTGTTATGTGTGGAAAGTGTGATTTGTGGCATGAGAGCAGACGCAGTAAAGCCGAGGTGTGAACACAGAGGTTTGGGATTGATCTGGGAGTCGACAGATCATGGAATAGATCCGTTTTTCTCAAGGGATTCAGAAGTTGCCATTTAAGGTCAAAGGGCTGCACTGGTTCAAGCTCTGGTCCACACACACACACACACACACACACCTTGTCCCTCTGGAAAACACCCCCCGCTGTCTGTGTTGAGCTTTGAGCACAGCCCTCTCCTCACATCTGACCCTCGCTGTTTCCTCCCTGTCAAACACGGACTGTAAAGCTGCTCTTTGGTGCAAATCTAGACTCTAATCTGGATCAATCTTTTTGAATTCAAAAGCTTCTAGATTCTTGCTACAGTGCAGCTTTACCCATAAGGTCTCCAAAACCCCCTCTCGCCTTTAGGTCTTGCCTGATGAGGGGGCATATTGACCAGTTTATGTGAATCAGGGGTGCAGCAGGGCAGGTCAATGGGGATTGGCTGGGACCGCTGATGCTAGGTGACGCATCCAAACACTTCTCAAGACCCGGTGTGTGTTGAGACTTTAGAAGAAGCATTTGTTGTTTTGCTCTCCTTCAGCATTCAGAGGAAATGGGAGGATGTTTGTGACGAGGCTCTTCTTTAGTGAGCGTTAGGGTTTGAGGGACCGGGTGTGAACGTGTTGGTCTCTCCGGCGGGGATACCCCCTTAGTGAATGATACCAAAGTTAATGCCCCGCCATGGGATCCAGCACCATGTACACACTCCCTAAAACCCTGATGTCCACCTTCAGAGAGCGTTCAGAAACTCTTCTTTCCTCCATGCTTTAATCTCTCTCCATAAAATCAGGCTCATATGCGGCCTTTTACAACATCCAAAAAATGTGTTTTAAAGGAGTAACTTGACATTTTTGGGGAATTAAGTGTATTCATTTTCTTGCCAAGAGTTAGATAAGAACCAGGAAGGAAGGTCTTTGCAGGGCCAAGCTATCGTTCTTGCAGGCTAATATAAGTTCTGAACAAACTAACTAACATTTTTTAGCTTTAAAGGCAGATTTTGTTCCGTACATATAAATAATTGTTTATTGAAACTAAACTGAATGTATTAAGACAGTAGCTTCTAGCAGTGGAGCTCCTCAACTGAAAGCTCAAACTAAATAAAGGCTTGCCGACTGAAAGACCACATACATAATAATGCTGTGATAGCACCGTTGCAAATAAGCGTTGCCTGGGCTATTCATATTGAAAACAGTTCCTGTTTAGGTATTGTTTTGTACTTAAGTGACGACTTTAACCCTAAACTTGGCACTTAATGAAGACAGAATGAAAGAGTTGTTAATGGTGATGCTTTTAGATACTGCTGTGTATTGGATGCACTCACGTTTCTTTTAGAAAAACAGACACAAACGAATTGATCAGTGACCTATATATTTGTGCTAAAGTGAACAAAACAATATGAATCAGCAAAGTGAGTCATCATTTCCACCTCATTTGGACAGAGACATGCTAGCTCTTTCCCCCTGCTAAGCTAAGCTAACATAGCTCCATGTTGTTATCATAAGGGTTTAGGGTTCATCATCCAAACCTTGGCAAGAAAACCTCAAAACATGTCAAACTATTCCTTTGAAATGCAAGAAACAGTGCTTGAAATTGAATCATGTCAAGATAAGAAACAGAAGGAGAGACACGGTGAGCAGAGCCAAAAACAACAACAAACAAGCTGCTTCTTCTTCCTCCACACCCCCCTCTCCTCCATCCCTCTCTCCTCTCTGTCTTTCTCTCGTCTACAATACAGCTTTAGTCCAAAGGTTTTCCTCCAGCAACACAGAGTCAGACGTTAAAGAATAAAACCAAAGAGCTCTAACTTCTCTTCAACACAAAGCCTCCACCGACTCCACTTCTCTCTTTCTCTCTCTCCATCTCCCTGTGTACTCTCTTTAAGTCCTCCGTCACCTAGCGCGCCGGTCTTTGAAGCGCTAACCTCAGCTATCCAAAGGGGAATAATAATAATAATAATAATATTGATAATTAAGATGATAATGAAATGTATATTTTTAAGTATTTGTCATTGGAAAAATAATCTTCTCATAATTATGATGATGATGATGATGATGATGGTGGTGATGATGATGATAATGAAGTTTCTCTTGGTATCTTTGTAGCTGTTCTGATCCTTCTTAAGTTCTTGTCCTTTCTGCTCGTCATCACCCCTCCCTCCCTCCCTCCCATCCTCCCCCCTTTTTCATTTGGTTTACCCAGTGTGTGGTCCTAACGTCATACCTGTCTGACCTTTACCCCTGTGTGTGTGTGTGTGTGTGTGTGTGTGTGTGTGTGTGTGTGTGTGTGTGTGTGTGTGTGTGTGTGCGTGTGCGTGTGCGTGTGCGTGTGCGTGGGGGTTGCTGGATAAATGGGACGGGTGTGGTGTGTTTAAAAAAAAAAAAACACACAAAAAGATTCCTTGTTCTTTGGACAACAACGATCCCCCCACACACACATGACCTGTCAACTGTAACGTACCGTTTGCCAACTTCCTATAGTTTGAATTCCCCCTGTCACAACAGTGTGTGTGTTAGTGTGAATATGTTTTTATTTGTTATCATAAAAGGCCTTTTTTCTATTTGTTATGCAACTCTAAAACCGGTTTAAACTTTGTGTGTGTGTGTGTGTGTGTGTGTGTGTGTGTGTGTGTGTGTGTGTGTGTGTGTGTGTGTGTGTGTGTGTGTGTGTGTGTGTCTCTGTGTGTCCTCCTCCATCCTGTGAGCAGCCCCCCTTTCTCCCCCCTAATCCCCTTCCTTTCCCCCCTCTTCTCCCTTGTAGTAGCAAGTTAGCCTTTTAGTGTATTTATCTTGAAAACCAAAAAAAAAGAAGAAAAATAACTCTACTTGTTCATTGTACAGTGTTGTTCATTTTAAGTCATTTTTGTAACTGAAAGTGTTTCATTCATCCAAATAAAACAGGAGACAAAAACTGTACAGATGATCCCCTCCCTGACTCTTGTCCTGTTTCTTAAATCATACATCACTTTCAGGAGAAACCTCATTTAGGAAACAGGAGATGAACTTCCAGTTGTCATGTACCTTTACAACCAGAAGAGGGCGCTGTTAGACTGTATATCTCTCCTCACTGAGCCCAGGCAGAGATAAACCACCGGGGCTGATATTTCCGTAGTTATGGAGGACTACAAGTGTCATGGAAATATAAAGTGTCATTGATTGATGACTAAAGGACATTACAAAAAACAAGGAATTCATAACAGATATTACCAATTAATTACTACTTAAACCACAGGTAAATGGTTGGAAACACAACATATTTTATTGGTTACTATTTGGGCCAAATACTCATATTGTAATCCATCAATAAATAGGATAAAGGAAAACATGAAAGGAAACCTCTATACGATTAATAAATACCCAAATCAATCATTTTAAATGCAATATTGAAAATTGAAATACATTTTGAAATATTTACACATTAAATAAAGAATGCTAGATTTTAATCAGGCATTTGAAAAGGCTATTTATCTAATTTTGTTATAGGGACAGTGCATTTTAATACAAATCTGTATATAATACAAGATGTCAAAATGCTGAGAAAAGCAACACATATATAGTTTACATCCACAGTGCCTGGGCAGGTAACCCTTTCCCATTTGTGCTTTCATTTTATTTCTAAATTCCCTTTCCATGCTGTGCACCTCTTTCCAGGGTAAGTGATTTCCTCTTATCAACATCGAGACAATAAAAGCTCTGTCAAAAGTCACCCAACATGTAACTTCATGACGTACTGAAGGGTATAAAAACATTACCAATTTGTTGTTTTGACCTCAAGTCTGTGTTGTTTGGAGCTGCAATGATTACCCAGAGATTTCTGACACTCTGAGCGAGAGGAAGTCATGTTGAAGTCTCACCCTGTGTGTCCTCACCGTGTCTCCTCATCCTGTGTCTCCTCACCCTGTGTCTCCTCACCCTGTGCCTCCTCACCCTGTGTGTCCTCACCATGTCTCCTCACCCTGTGTCTCTTCACCATCTGTCTCCTCACCCTGTGTCTCCTCACCGTGTGTCTCCTCACCCTGTGTCTCCTCACCCTGTACCACCTCACCCTGTGTCTCCTCACCCTGTGCCTCCTCATCCTGTGTCTCCTCACCCTGTGCCTCCTCACCCTGTACCTCCTCACCCTGTGTCTCCTCACCCTGCACATAGGTTCTCACTTCCAGACTTGTTGTTGTCATTGGGGGTGATGAAGAGGAAGCAGATCGTCTTCATCTGTCCCTCCATTTATATTCTCTCAGCTGAGTCAGGGGACATCTGCTAGTTGACCTACAGTTGCGATCGTTTGGCCTCCAGAAGTGTTGATTCTCTGTTTTGTTGTCTCCTTCTCTTCCTCTGAGTAAGTAGAGTACGTTTTGTTGAACAAATAAAGTCTGTTCAACATATATTACTCACACATCTAGACTAAGAGAGATTTCATGTATCATAAAGAAATATTACAAGCAAAGAAATTCACATTAAAGTAAGTAAGTAAAACTTTATTTATATAGCACCCTTCTCAACACGGATGTACAAAGTGCTTTACAGTACAGTACACAATTCACAGTACAACTATAACATGTAGAATAAAAGGCATAAAACAACAGCAGGTAATACATAGGATAAAACATATAAAAACACTATAAACACTAACCAAACACCCTAAAACAAATCTAACCCTATCTACTAAATGGTCTCAAATCATGAATTGAATCAGTCATATATTGATTTAAAATAGGTGCGATAAAATAAACAGAGATATGGGAAAACATTTGAATAATAAAGGGCAGCATTAGCTCGATCAGTTCGGTTTCCAAGCCGAAGGGTCGCTGGTTCAAGTCTAGATCGGAGCAAAAATACAGATTCCTAGATGGAGACTTGCCAGTTTGCATCCGAGGCACTGCCGAGGTATCCTTGAGCATGGCACCAGCACCCCCAACGCTCTCGGGTGCCGCACCATGGCAGCCTCTTTCGCTCTGACACTGACTCTCTGACACTGTGTGCATGTGTGCATTTCGGCGCTTTGTGTGTGAAAACTGAATTTTCCCTGTCGGATTAATAGAGTATGTCTTAATCTTACTTTGCAATGCAAGTAAAGTAAACTTGTTAAGAAGTATTCAAGCTTTGACAAATTTAAAATATATTTTTAAAGACAGACACAGAAAAAGACATGCCATTGGTGTTATTCAATTCAATTCAAAACCTTTATTTATCCAGGTGAAATCCCATTGAGATCAATGATCTCTTTTTCAAGGGAGACCTGCAGCAGTAGGTTCCACATGAAGACATAAAAACATAAACAACAGAACAACAAAAGGACATTTTCATACAGCAAAAATTACAGGGATTACAATTGACATATCTATCCACATGTACAGGTACCAACAGCATCTGATTGTGTAGCATCCAACCGAGCTTTAAAAACATGTAGTGGTACCAGATTGGTAATTTTCCATTCTTTTTGCAGACTGCTCCAAGTTAGTGGAGCTGCACATCTAAAAGCTTTCTTCCCTAAGACAGTCCTAGCACTTGGCACATTTAATAAAACCACAGCATGCGATCTCAGGCAATAACTACTTTCAATTCGCCGAGAGATCAGAGAGCAGATATAAGATGGTAGTTTATCCAACATGGCTTTGTAAATGAACATGTACCAGTGACTGAGCCTCCGTACAGTAAGTGATGGCAAAACCGCCTTGGTATACAGTGTACAGTGATGCGTAAGTGCTTTACAGTTTGTCAAAAATCTCAGTGCACTGTGATACGCAGCATCTAACTTGCTCAGGCAATGGGCAGGTGCATTCATATATAACAAATCACCATCGTCCAGCACAGGTAAAAAGGTCACAGTGACTAGCCTTTTCCTGGCCTCGAGCGAGAAACAGGACTTATTTCTGTAAAAGAAACCTAGCCTAACCCTCAGTTTTTTTAAGCAGGTTATTTACATGAAATTTAAAAGTGAGACAGTCATCAAGCCAGATACCCAGGTATTTGTAACAGGCAACCATTTCAAGTTGTATTCCTTGCGTAGTTACAATATCCAAAGCCGTCTCTGGTGTATTTTATTCAATCTCACTATCTCAACCATACCTGTTCCCTCTGCAAAGCACACAACAGCTTTTTTACCCTCTATAAAATGCTCTTTCTTTGTCTTATATGAGGGGAAATAAGGTGGGAAAAAGTCTCCTCCTCTTCCTCTCCCTCTTCTTCCTCCTCCTCACAGTAGGTGGATGATTAGGTAGGATGCTGAGTGTAAGTGTGACAGCTTTCAGACTCCCACCTGGAGTTGAGTCACGGTGAGCATGTGATCCTGTCGCCACGGTGACTCGGGTAGATCTGCTGCTTGTGTCGTCGCATCGATATAAAAAATGTCTCCTTTCACGAAATGAATCTGCTGTTTACACTTTTTAATACTGCATGGGGAAATGTTACTGAGTACATTTACTCAATTATTTAAGAATACATTTAAAGTACTTGTACTCTGTTGCCATTTTATGTTATTTTATGTATAATAAGTACTTTTACTTGTTGTACTTCAAATACATATAGCTTTTTGAACTTCTTCACACTTACTTATAAGATTTTGAATTCAAAAATATAAATAATGACGTTTTTAGTCCAAATCCTAACAAATGTGCACATCTGCCCTGCCTCACCTTAGGAAATGTTGACCAGACACCATCAATAATTAGCAAATCTTAAATTCACTTAAAATGTTTGATAGTACATTACTGCAAATAACAACATGTATGTTTTTTGAAACAGTAAAGTCTTACCTCCACTTACCAGATTTCCTGCAGAGCTTTAACCACATAGTACTTCTTCCATACAATAATAGGATAGTACGATAATACTTTAATGGTAAGATCAAGTCTGAAATTTGACTTGCATCACAGCAGCTCCATGTGTAACATCAACATAGACAAATATCAAGACACATCTAACATAACATCACAATCACTGAGAGAAACATGCTGAAAGACCCTTTAGCGTGCATTTGATCTGGGATAAATGCATGTTGCTTAACATTTCTAATCGTTATTTAAGTCATATTTATCATACTCCTTAAATAGTGTCTCATTCCAAAATAGGTTATTAATACATACCATCCTTGAGGTAAAATATGGTTGCCATGTAACAGCGCTGAGTCATAATGTAATCTCCATATACTTGTTACAGGAAGCAGCAAATGATGTTCTGTTGGCCTGATGGGGATCGTAACTTTCTGCGTTGCATTGTCTGAGCACTAAAGGTTTGACATCATCTGAGAAAAGGAAGTCAGTCTCCGTGACTGTAAAAGCACCCTGTGGCACAGAGCGGGTAACAGGAGAGCAGCGTATCTGGTGAGGTGAGGAGTCAGTTAACACACAAACAGCCACTCTTTTGGCTCCAGAGGAACCGGTGAAGGTGCAGTTGGCCTCGAACAGGGCCTCACTGTGTCAGCGGGACGAGAAGACAGAACACCAGCTGTCAGTTAACCAGGAACACTGCCAGTGTGTGTGTGTGTGTGTGTGTGTGTGTGTGTGTGTGTGTGTGTGTGTGTGTGTGTGTGTGTGTGTGTGTGTGTGTGTGTGTGTGTGTGTGTGTGTGTGTGTGTGTGTGTGTGTGTGTGTTGGTGCCAGTGAGAGACAGTGCCAGCGGTGAAGTGCCACTAGGCAGATCTGGTTTCCCTCCCTGAGCAGCAGTGTGTGTGTGTGTGTGTGTGTGTGTGTGTGTGTCTGTGTGTCTGTGTGTCTGTGTGTGTGTGTGTGTGTGTGTGTGTGTGTGTGTTGCCTCACCCCACGACCTCTTACCCTCTACCAAGCCATACACGTAAAGAGTAGTTTTTTAGCACGTTTTTTTACAAAATATATTATTTAGGTGGCTGTAGCTCAATAAAACATCTTTCTTGTCAAAGAGTTTGTGTAGCATTATCCCTAAAAATAATTCAACTGATCTTTTTCAGGCAACAGATG